CTTAAACCTCCACGTCTTCAATATCCCCAGCTTGAACCTAACCCTCAAATTCAATTTCACATCAATACTGTAAACCCCAGAATTCTTCTTCTGATTGTACTCGGAACCTCCATCGGCACCGAGTAACACCAGTTTCTGTCCTTGAAACGAGGGGTTCAAGTAACTGGTATTCTTGTGCCCCTGATAGAATGAGGTCAGCTGTTGGGTAGCGAACCGTTGGTCCTCGTAGTACGCGTTGGCCTCGATGCGGTCGTAGTAGATGCCGATTTTCTTGTTGGGTTGCGCACGGTGATGTTTAGGGCCAGGTTGTAGTGGAGGTTGTTGTCGGGGACTCGGGGGTGAGGTTGAATTGGGTAAGGGGGGCGTCTGTCACGTGAAAACTTAACTACGTTGGGACGGAATATGAGCCAGAAGATGAGAGCAGCCAGACCCAAGATGATGACAGCAGTTACTGTGAGCTTGATAAGGAAGCTCAGGAGGCAGCAGCAGCCACAGCCAGAACCATGGCCGTCGCTGTGGTAGGAGCGGACAGGTGGACGGCGGGGCCATAGTAGGCTCCGTTCAAGTGGGAATGTTTCTCTGCCATGGAATAACACATGAAGATATACTCTGTTTTTTGAGGAGATGAATTAGAAGAGAAAACAGGGCGGAATGTATTTATAGGGAGAATAATTAGAGTGGGAAAAGGAATTTGAGTCGGGGATGCTACACGGCCGGAAGATAATGCGCGAGTTAACAGACGCGGTTTAATTCGTCGAATGTGGGTGGATAAAAGAGGTACGATTTTTGGGGTTAAATTAAATAGGTGCATTGTGGAGTGGTGGATGGAACCTTCCTAATCCTGCATAATTTGGGTTTTATATGTTATTTTACTTTAAGATGTTGACTATGGGTTCGTTGCAAGAGAAAAATGTCGAGGAAAATTGTAATGGTTTGGTTCCACATCCAATTTGACAATGATGTGAAGGGATTATTCAACAATTGATGTTTTTTGTGGCTTATCATGTTACCGTCATGTTTGAGAAGAGTATTACTTTTTAAAAACCTCAGAGAGTTAAATTTATGAGTAAGTTAGGTTTAGAATTTAAATTTTAAAGTTAACATTTAAAGAAATTAATTTTTTTAAATGTAAGGTATGTCCTTGAAAATGTCTAAGAAAAATTGATTTTAAACTGTACAAAAACTAGATTGTAACCTTAATCTTACATAATTTAGGAATTATTATGTGCTTTTTTTACTTTAAGATAACTATGGGTTTGTTGCAAGAGGAAAATGTTAAGGAAATCGTATTGTTTTGGCTTTAACTTATCCAATTTGACAATGATATGAAGGGATTATTTAACAATTGATGTTTTTTGTGGCTTATCATAGTACCATCATGTTTGAGAATATTATTATTTTGTAGAAATCCTGCAGGTTGCATGTACGAATAGATATATGTTGTCTTCTAGATTAGGTACAGGCTTTTAATTTTAAAGCTAGCACTCTGTTTCTTCTTCAAAAAATCCTCAAGTGCTTCGTACGTGCGGAATTTGGATGTAGGCGTGCCACTTACTTTTCTAAAAAGCAAGAAAAAGGGATTTTCCCGATGACCCTCTCCTTCCACGCGGTCGACCTCCATTAGGATGACTGGAAGAACGTTGGTTTAAGACTGAGTTTTGCGCCCTTTAAACAATTTGCAAGAGGGAGGGATGCCTTCCTGCAAAATGGGTTGCTAATTTGCCTTGAACAATCTCAAGGACTTTACCACTACCGTGAATTTAAGTTAATAAATCCAAAATGAACTGAATGAGATGCAAATTAAAATAAACTTGATGTTTATTACATGAAAGGAAATCAGAGAAGCAATTACACAAACTAATTTGGGTACTTGAATGCTGAAAACAACTTAAATCTATTGAAATCTGTGCTAAAACTGAAATATGAAAGCTAAGAGGAATCACTACGAAACTAAAGAATTGAAAAATTGATGAGTTTCTGTGTAGGGCTGGCCGTGTCTTGAAAAAATTCAAAAAGCTTCTATTTATATACTTCTTGCGAGCTGTTTCTCGACTGATAAGATCACAGATAACCTCCTGCCAAATTCTAGGGATTGCTATTCCTTTTAAATTTAAACTGCAACAAACTGGTTAACCTTTATCCTTCCAAACAACTTTACAGATATGCATCTCTTCAGAAGATTTAATCTCTTCATATCCCCTTGACACATGGCATTATTAAAAAAATGAAATTTATGGTGTAAACAATACCCCCCAACACTTGATTTTATGAAAATAAATTCAAGTGTTTATAATTAAATAAATTGCATGCAAACTCCAGCCACCAATGCCACATGTCAAACGACTCTAAGGTCTGAAGGAAGAGATCTCAAACCTTGAAGCCAAGCTTGTAGAACTTAAACAAATAAATTCCCCTTACGAAATAGACAGAAAAGAGCTTGGCAGAACAACGTAGCAAATTTCTTGTAGATATAGAGGTAGACTTGAATGTAGCTTCCAAAATCAAAGATCAACTTTCCTCTTTCACAAGCTTTATTGCATACTTGATCTAGAGCATATTGAAATTTGACACAACCATAATTTAGTTGCTATGATTGCTCACGGCCAAATTTGGCCAGCTTACAAATTCAAATCAGCACTTTTATTGACACTTAAAAAATGCTAAATTGGAAAAGAAAATATTATGCAATTTCACCCAAATTTGACTCAGTCGGAATTCGAAATATCCATATTTACCTCATCCAACGGATCTTGTACTTCTACTTTCAGATTGTCAAGTTTGGCTCGAACTAGATCTAACTCCTCCATAGTAACCACATTTGTCAGATTTTCCTCTTCACTTTCGTGGACGACCTCAGATCTGTCTACATTGATCTGTTTTTCTACAAGATAGGCTGCTAATTTCCTTTGGATTTCTTCCACGGCCTTTTTCTTCTGGCAATTGATTTGTTGTCTTTTCATGGAATTTCTTCAATTTCTGGCTCCTCCCTCGGCCTAAAAAGAACAATTGCTGTAAGCCAAAGGAGTTCATCACAAACCTCCTTTACTGTGCATCTAGTGCGTACTGATCTGGTATTGGCAGTAATTCCAGCTGGTTTGCCATTATGGTCCATCCCAAAGAAACAGATGGTCCCAATTTCTTCATCATAATAACGAGCTTCCATCGAATTTGTGTTAGCTGCAAAAGGTTTGTCATCAGCTTTCACAACCTCAACTCTGCCACCATTCCAGAATATCAATTTCTGGTGCAATGTTGAAAGAACACACCAGCTAGAATGGATCCAATCTTTTCCAATTAATGTATTATAAGTGGCTATAGTGTCAACCATAAAGAATGCACACATGAGAATTTTGTTTCCCATAGTGAGCTCCACTGGCAAAATTTCCCTTGAACAATTTACTCCTCTAGTGAAGTCACTAATCATCACTTCTGTCTCCATCAGATCTTTCAAAGATTTGCCAATCTTGTGTAACATATAAGTTGGCAACACGTTGACAGTAGCACCATTGTCCACCAAAACTCGATTAATTGGCATCCCATCCATGTGAGCATGAATGTATAATGGCCTTATATGTCTGGCCATCCTCTCTTCTAGCTTCTCAAATATAATTTTGTCTGTTGAAATCTCATTTTCATCCTCCTTTGCAAGAATCTCAATAATTCCTTCCTCAATTTGATTTGACTATTGATAATCTGCAGATTCTGGTTCTCCTTTGGCTTGGAAGACCAGAGGAAAGGTAGGCACCAAACAAGACAAATTCAAAAAAAACTCATCAAATTGGATGGTTTCCTATTTTTTGAATTTTCCATTTCTGCTGCCACCTTGAACGTTGCTTTCAGGCCAGTTTCCTCACTTGTCTCCATAGTTAGAATTTGGGGAGAAGTTGGACTTCTGGGTTGCTTTTCATCTTCTGGTGATGTTTGACTTGATGTCCTGTTTTTGTCTTTCGGGACCCAGACAGATTTCATTCTCACTGGGAGTGGCTGAGCCAGATCTGTCATGCCCCCTGAGTTCTCCATCTGTTGCTGGTGCCTTTCTTCTACTTTCTTGCGTTGTAAACGTCGCCTCAAAGTTCTAGGATTCTGAGCCTTAGGAAACTTTGGGTGAACCACTCGCTCCCATTTATGGCTAGGAGATTTGAGCGGTGGTTTCACCATTCTAGATCATCCTTCATAGCCAGATTTCATAGCACTTTGACTTGGACCAGTTTTCTGCTACTTCGGATCATGCCGTCCATGCCTTCTTCCTTGTGGAGAATTTGACTTAGCCTGATCTTTATGAGTTCTGGCTTCCTTAATGACCCATCTTAAGTCATCAGTTGTAAGTCTACGCTTGGAGTATGACCAATTTCTATCCTTGATAAGGCTTCAAAGAGCTGCCATGTTCACCCCGACAGACAACTCAGCGAATGGGTCTGCATCAACTCCCATTGTTTCCTTGGCCTTTTTGAGAAATCGCAGAATCCCTCTATCGATCTTTTCTTACAACTGTTGTTGATTTCCTAGATCTGCCACACGTGGTGCAACTTTTACTGGTTCTTGCTGCATTGGCCCACCAATTGCCGGTTGGTTCTTTGGAGGCAAATGTGGTTGATTGACTTGCCCCCTGAGTGTTGGAACTGGAATATTCTAGTTCTGTCTTTGAAAATTTGCTACTTGTGCTTGAGCTTCAATTCTGGCACGTCGAAATACTTCCTACATTTGCTCTATTTCAACTTGAAAAGTTCTCCAATTTTCTACATTCTGCTCTCGCCAAATTCTTGCACTTTCTTCATTAGATCGCCGAATGTCAGCTACACTTTGAGCTACACTTTGAGCTACACTTAGGACCAAATTCTGAGCCAGATTCTGAGATAGATTCTAAAAAGACTCATCCAATTGTCTAGTGATCTCTTGGCTTCTTTGTTGAGCTATTTCCTCAGATTCCAACAAAGCCTTCATAAGGGAGTCACGAGATTGAGCAACATCATCTCTAGATTCACTATCTTTGTTAAAGGTTGGATTGACAAAGGAGTGCCGCCCAAGTATTGGTGACAATGGTGGTGGAATGATTGGCTCATACTCTCTTTTCAAATGTGCTGGGCTACCTTCACCGAGCCCAATCTGTAAAGTTTGGGTAGCGTTCCCCATGTTTCATTTTGGTCGCATAGCTACATCTTTTCTTGGATAAAGGAACAACAGATCTAAAAACTGTAGGTGAGACATGGTGAGGTCCCACCAGGTGTGCCACAAAAAGATTGTTTCCTCAAAAAATCCTCAAGTGGCTTCGCACGTGCAGAATCTGGATGCAGGTGTGCCACTTACTTTTCTAAAAAGCAAGAAAAAAGGATTTTCCTAACGACCCTCTCCTTCCACGTGGTCGACCTCCGTTAGGATGGCTGGAAGAACGTTGGTTTAAGATTGAGTTTTGCGCCCTTCAGACGATTTGCAAGAGGGAGGGATGCCTTCTTGTAGAATGGGTTGCTAATCTGCCTTGGACAATCTCAAGGATTTTACCACTACCATGAATTTAAGTTAATGGATCCAAAATGAACTGAATGAGATGCAAATTAAAATAAACTTGATGTTTATTACATGAAAGGAAATTAGAGAAGCAATTACACAAACTAATATGGGTACTTGAATGCTGAAAACAACTTAAATCTATTGGGATCTGTGCTAAAACTGAAATATGAAAGCTAAGATGAGCAATCACTACGAAACTAAAGAATTGAAAAATTGATGAGTTTCTGTGTAGAGCTGGCCATGTCTTGAAAAAATTCAGAAAGCTTCTATTTATATGCTTCTTGCGAGCTATCTCTCGGCTGATAAGATCATAGATAACCTCCTCCCGAATTCTAGGGATTGCTATTCTTTTTAAATTTAAACTGCAACAAACTAGACAACCTTTATCCTTCCAAACAACTTTATAGATATGCATCTCTTCAGAAGATTTAATCTCATCTTATCCCCTTGACACGTGGCATTATTTAAAAAAATGCAATTTATGGTGTAAACACACTCTAAATGGTGTCCTTAAAGTTGCCGAGGAAAATTTAGTCTCATGATGAGGGAAGATTAGTCTAGGGATACCATGATGGTAAATATAAGAAAAAAAAATGTATAATTTCCTAGCAATTAACACTATGTGTTAAAATTTTATTTTATTTTTTGTTTTTTACGTCATTGTTATCTATCTATAGATATTTGAGTCTTTAACTTTAATTCTAAATCAAGATTTTTAAGTTAGTATTTAAATTCAACCTCTCTCTTATTTATAGATATTAAAATAACATGAGACCTCTAACTTTCTATTGGTAGTCCATAAATAATGAAGTATTGCAAACAAACTTAAGTAGTTTGTGATAATCTAAGAGTTTTGAATTTGAATCACATGACATACGAGTAGAGTAAGTTAAGAGATATAAAATAGTACTGTATTCCATCGTGGAACCTCAAAATAATAATTAAGTATTAGTTTAGTGATATTCATTTATATGTTTTCAAAGTAGGGACATAATTAACTAGTTTAGTGATAATATTTTACATGTGTTAATGGCATGTTTGGTTAAAGGGGAAGGAAAAGATGAAAATTTCTCGATTTAATTAGTGAAAAATTTGCAAAAGAAGGAAGGGACAAGAGTCCTTTATACTTTATTTTTTACTTTTAATTCTTTCATTTATCATTTTCCTCCCTTCCCCTCCTTTCCTTTCTAATTCCCTCAAATCAAATATACTATAAAAGTATGAATATAAAATAGTTTAGTGAAAACAAAATTCTTATTATAAAAATAACATAACTTAAAATTTTTTTTAATTTATATTTTTAGGTTACACATTAGAGGAGTATTAATTATACTCTTTTATAGTTAATTTACATAGAAAAATAAAAATTTACTTTAAATTTATCAATTATACAATTAAAATCACTCACATTATATTGGTGTTAAAAATAATATTTATTGTTTTTATAAAAATTTATTACAAAATGAGACAATTAATATATTCTTAATATGTTATCAAGTTAAAAATAATCTGTTATCAAGTTAAAAAAATCCAAAAAAGGTAAATGTTGTTGTAAAAAAACTCTGTGAAAAATAGATATTTTCTAATGCAATTAGAGGCTCTAGAAAAATATTGAGATTATTTTCCAGTGCTTAATGCTGAAAAATAAAGGTAAATGACTAAACAATAACATGTTATTGTTTACTGTTAGCATTATTTTCTAGCTGCATTGTGCTGAAAAATAAGCTAGATGATTACTAGTTACTAGCTTTGTTAAATATTTGTTTTCCAATGCAATGTGTTGGAAAATATAGAGCTTAGATAATAATAAAAAATTCCATTTAAACTATATAATTTAATCATGATATATATGTATATCATGATTACATATGTAAAAAATCTCTTAAAACAATATAGTTTGAATAAATAAAAGTAAACTAATTATATATATATTTAAAGTGAACTAATTAAACCAGCTTAAATTAATAAATACTCTCCTCATATAAACACAACTATTTTTAATAAGTTTTACTCTATAATCCAATCATATTCAAAGAATTACATGGTACATATATTTTATAAATTTTTCCAAATAAATAAATAAATACATAAAGTACCTTAATGCCATGTGATTCATACAAACACCTACGACATAGAAAAAAATTAAATTAGTTACATATATATATATATATATATATAAGAGTTTATGGATGAGAGAAAAATAGAACAAATGAAAATTACACTTCTAAAAATTGAAATGAATAATACCTCCAATTTCAACATATTTAAGATTTTTAACACCTATAAGAAAAAATGAAGTGAGTTAGTGTAAGATCCATGTGAAATTTTGAAAATAATAATAAATTTAAATTAATATTACCTTACCTTTAATTGGGATTAATGGATATGTAACCATATACCTACAAAAATAAAAAATTGAATTGGTATATTTTTTAAATGAATATTAACAAACATTAAAAAAAAAGTGAGAGAGAGGAGGAATAGGAAATGCAGAGAACATGAGAAAGAATGTAGAAGAAAAGGAAAACAAAGAGGAATTAAATGGAAAGAGAGAACATGAGAGGGAAAGTAGAATAAAAGCAAAAGAAAGAAATGGAGAAAAGGAAAGCAGAAGAAGAGGTAAAGAGGAAAAAGGAGAGTGAATGGCATAGAAAGAGAGGGAATGAAAGACAAGGAAGAGATGGGAGAAAATATGGTGAAGAAAGAGAGGTAGTTTTACATAGACATGGGGCGCCATTTTGAAAAATTTCAGGAATGAAATTGCAAAAAACTTATTTTTCAGTGCTCTACACTGGAAAATGATCTAAATTTTAAAAATTTTGGAAGGAAAGATGGCATTTTGGAAGTTTAAGTGTGCAATGGTGCACAATACTTATTTTTCAGTGTTAAGCGCTGGAAAGTAATCTAAATTTTGAAACATTTCAGCAAAAAAACACAGCATTTTGAAAATTTTCAGGGGAAATGGTGCAGATTATTTATTTTCCAACACTAAATACTGGAAAATAATCAGAATTTTGAGAAATTTCAAGAAAAAAGCCATCGTTTTTGAAAATTTTTTGTTATATACAGCATGGTATGCTTATTTTCTAGTGTATAGTGCTAGAAAATAAGTAGTAAAGCATGAATATATTATTTTTCAGTGTAATGCACTGGAAAATATGGTTACTAGATACGAACCTGAAGCCACAAAAATACTTATGATTTAGATAAAGATACTAGTGACAATAAAATCACACATAAGGCAAAATAGTCCTGCCTTTTGCAAACAAAAATACTTGACTGGCGAGGAGGCAATGAACGAAGGCGAAGAAAGGAATGACCTTTGATCTTATAGCTTGAGCGGCGGAAGGCAATGAATGACGATGATCGGATCTGCTAAGCCAAAAAAAAGTCAGAAAATCAGAAAAAAAGAGGGGGGGGGGGGGTGAAAATAGACAAATAAGATGGAATCTTGCTAAATTTACCTTTTTCGGCGATCGAACAGCAATAATTGACCCAAAACAAAGTGTGGCAGCTTACGGTATGGTGGAGATGGAAGAAATTATAGGAGGTCGGGCGGGGCAAAAAGGAGTTTGGGAAGGAAAGGGGGTTTGTAAGGCCTAACTTATTTTCCAACGCAATTCATTGGAAAATATTACAAGTCAGTTACTCAATATCTAACTGTCACCGTTAAATTACTATTTTCCTACGTGTGGTGTTGGAAAATATTATGGCCAATCTTTTTACCTACTGATCATTTTTTAAGAAATTAAATAGTTAATATCCTTTTCATTTTCCAATACTAAACGCTGAAAAATAAAAAGTGCACAAAATTTTTTTAATGCATTATTATTTTTCAGTGCCGATCATTGGAAAGTAATTGTTTTACTCAAATAAAAAGTTAAAATTGGACATATGTTAGCAACCGTCAGTTTCCAGCATAATGCACCAGAAATTAGTTATCATTTGCCAATGCAGTGCTGTGTTGGAAAATAAGCGCTGGAAAAAGGGCAAAATTCTAGTAGTATAAGGTACATGAGTTTTTAAACTCCATCCACGTCCATTCATATTTAAAGTCTTCCAAATAAGCCCTTTTTATTAAATAAATAAATATTAATTAGATGATAATATTAATAGTAAACAATTTTTTAACTATTTAATTAATCTTAAAAAGTTAATATTTTTAATAAAAAAATTAAAATTTTATTATTTTATTTTATATAAAAATTAATACAATTCACATTTTTAAATTAAAAAAAATAAAATTTATAACTCTACATTTTAAGCTGATAAAAGAAACAATGGATGAAGTGCTTTTGGATTTGCTTCTGCATCTTTCTTCTTCCCACGGACCTAGCTCGTTCTCACATTTGCGTGTGAAGGTGGGTTCAAGACTTCAATAAAATAATCTCGATCCTTGGGATCGTCAAGAAGTAGATCCAAATCTTTGAGATGAATCTTACTTTGCAGCTTCGCCTGTCTGGCTTCATTAGCATCAATCTTACTTTCAAATGAATTGAGCTTTCAAGCTAAAGTGGTTCCCCCCAAGCTTTAAAACGTTTGGGTGAATTGATAGAAATTTTAAACTCTACCAACATCTTAAAAAAAATCTCCCTTCCCTCAAATCGTAGATTGTTAAAAAAAAAAAAAAATTACTTCCAAATATTTTCATCATCAAAACACGAACGTGACACAAGTTTTCTAATTAAATCCCCTAATCTAAATGCATCGTCGGTTGTGTGATGAAGTCTAACATTAATCCCCCGTAAATCCCTAAGGGAGGTTAATCTTCCAATTCCTCTAGGAAAGTAAGTCAAACTCAAACAGCCAGTTGTATCAAGATGCCTTAAGTTTACCAACTTCTCCATCTTATTCGGTAATCCCCGTAGAAGACTATAGTAAGGCATACGTAAAGATTGCAAATTACATAATTCGCATACTGCTTCAGGCAATCTTTTGAACATACTGAGAGACAAGTTAAGCAATCTAAGGTGCAGCAATTTGCCTACTTCTTTTGGCAATCCACCAATAACACGACCCCTATAGAAATTCAATGAACGCACACGTTTTGGTTCAAGAAATAATTTGCACAAAGCTTGACTGGTTTCTTTTTCATCAATGTGGAACATGGTCAGGCTCCGTCACTTTTCTGCAGCAAGAAGCATAGGAAAACTTGTCCCAGGCATCTGCCTTACCAATAGATGGCGAGTTTTCTCTAAAGAAAGCTTTCCATCACAATGGAGATCTTCGGACACAACTTCATTTCCCATAAAAAATGTGGCAAAGTGAACTGTTATGTCATGGATCTTGCATCCCCACATGCTACCATCTTCAAATACTTCAAGATCTTGAAAGAATGACCGTTCCACCAAGCAATCAAAGTACTCAGCTCCTCTAATTTCCATCTCTGCATTCTCATCAGAACCTAAATAATCTTGTGCCATCCACTGATAAATCACGTCATCCTTCTCAATCAAAAAATCTTTAGGAAAAGATAGAAACAATACAAAAAGCATCGCTTACTGCTGAGGGCAAATCATAGAAACTCAACAGTAAAGGAACATATACTTCCTTTTGTACCAAATCTAACTGCCATATCTCACTGTTCAATATATTTTTCCAGTCATCTCTTGTTTTATTGAACCGCAACATGCCTCCTAGAGTCTTTGCAACTAGTGGCAATCCACTACATCTTTCTGCAATCTTCTTTCCAATGCTCTCTAAACTTTTACATTCTTCCTCATCTCTTCCAACAAATGCTTCTTGGCTAATTATATTCCAACATACACTGTCACTCAGTTCTTTTAGAGGAAATTTACGGACGGAGTTCATGGTCTTCACAACTGTATCCTTCCTAGTTGTCACCAAAATCCTACTTCCAGATGCAGCAGGTTTGAAACCTTGATTTAGTTGTTCCCAACTTTTGCTTTCACCTGTCCACAAATCATCCAGAACAAGAAATACCTTCTTGCACTTAATAGATTTGCACATTGTTTCTATAAGTATTTGCAATGAAAGCTTATTGAGATCATGTCTTGAAAGGTTTTCATCAAGAGCTGCAATAATTTCTTCTGCAACTCTTCTTTCATAAAAAATTTCTGATATAGAAACCCATATTCTCCCGTCAAAATGGGTCTCAATTGCATGATCATTGTAAATGAGTTAGGCAAGAGCAGTTTTTCCAACGCCACCCATGCCTACGACAGAGATGGTCTTGATATGACTCTCTATTTCATCACTGCTACGACCCAGCAAACTGTTTACTATGTCGTTCTTAGTCTCATCTCGACCATGCAACTTTGACAGCTCAGTAAAAGCTGTACTTTCTGCTCTTCTAACAAGTCTAATATCCCTTGATGCCATCAAAAAATTAATATCCTTTGGTGCCAATTGATAGCTATCTTTCTCCTTTGCAGTCGCATCTAATCTTTCATTGATTTCTTTTATTTTAAGAGCAATGTCACGACCTTGAACAACTTGACAACCAAAAAAAAAAAAAAAAACATGGGATGAAGGAACGACATACCTTTCCCTTGGACAGATCAAAGTTTTCCAGATCTGCTTCATCAATTTTGAACTTTAAAAGAGCAGTGTTCCACTCATCCAACACATCCTCCATGTTATAACATCTTTAAGCTTGGTCAACCAATTCTGGATGCTTCTATCCTTGATCTGCCTTTCCTCAGCATCATGAAGCGAAGCCTGGATGGACTCAAATTTGCTTTTGAGCTTGTTGATTTCTTTCTCAACACCAGTGACCAGTTTAACCTGTTGTCCTGCCTCTTCAGAGATGATTGTAGCTAGCTGCCCCAAGATAGCCGAAAAAAGGTGCATCTGCCATTCTTGGAAAAATAGGAACCGATAGACTGGTTAAATTTGAAATCGAAGGAAAAGGATGTTAATGGATTTGGTTTCAAAGTTGCAAGCAAGTTAATGATTAGCTGCTTATTTTGTGGTCAGTTTGTGTCCAACCAGCCAAAGATTCTTTGGACATACTGTATATCACAGCGCTAGCGGCTAGCCGGTGTGTAAAAGGGGCCAAACAATGTTTTTAAACCTAAACTGGTTTTGACCTCTGGTTCACGATTTGAACAGTTTAACCAGTTTAACCAATAAAACCGTCGAGTTGATCAAAATACTATAAATACATTATTATGGAATATATTTCATGCAATGTTTGTTGGGTGCAGTGGTAGGTGGCTAATTTGTTATAAGAAAGATCACATGTTCAAGTCATTTAAGAGCAAACTTTAACATAATTGTGGTTTTAAAAATAGAATAAATATATTGTAAAGCAAAATATTGCAAATAGAAGTTGTATCTCAAGTGGAAGAATCTTCGTTCCATACATAGAGAATGGATATTCGAATCCCATCAATAATTTGATTAAAAGCTTTAAGATTACTATTAAATAAATAAAATTCCAAGCACTCATTACTACAAGAATTGCATTATTCCGATGGCAAAGAATCGGCATAAGGGCTTCAAGGTTGCCCGTTCAAGCTCCATGGGAGATAAATTTCTGAAGACTTTGTGCTTAAGTATTGAACCATTCAATCGAACAATTTATTGGTTTGAGTAGTTTCAATGGCTCTTATTGGTTTCAAACCATTTAACTGTTTAAACAGTTTAAAAAGTGCATTTGAATTGTTTATATTATCGGATATTGGTTCAATTGATTCAATCGACTAGTCCCTTAACTTTATTATTTTCAAGATAAAAAGTAAAAATTATTATATAATTAATGTTTCTTATCCTATGCTCTTAAAGTACAAGATAGAATAATCCATAAAAAATATGTTGCAAATTTGCCCTTGTTTTCTTTCTCTCTCCAGTCTCCCCCTTCCTCTACTCTATTCCCCTTTCTCTCTCTCCACCATGTGTCACATCCTATAGGGAGCACCCGCTGTGCCTTCGCATAAATGATTGAAAAACCATCATTTACTCCAACTTTAATACCTTCAGGAGGGGATACATGAGGACTTCTCAATTCCTTTACAAGTTGCTTTATCATATTTGGGGGAAGATATTGACTCCTTGATAAGAAATCAAAATATGCGGCTAACTGCTCATATATAATAGGATTGTGGCTAGCTGTTGGATGACACTCCATATCCAGATTGGGACCTATGGGTCACCATTCAGCAAGCTATGGTCTCGATAGGGATCTCATGGTGGCTGAACGAGGAGCCTTTAGTTAGAGATAAGGCAAATCTCACCCTCCCTCGTTCAACTGCTTTTTTTTTTTTTTTTGAATTGTTATGCGGTGTTGCGGTTGTAACTCCAGTTAAGATTGTGTTAAATTATGTTTTGTTATAGTTGTAATTAAAAATTATTTTAGTATGTAATTATTCAATTTTTAAAGAATATTATAGATAACTTATGGTAAAATTTATTGATTATTAATTAAAATTTTAAAAATATTTTATGATGTATAATTGATATGTAATTATTAAAATATATAATATTTATTATTTAATAATTTAAATTTTTATATTTTTTATGATGAGTGTTCATTTAAGTTTTGTAGGAGAGTAGCTCGTAAAGATGTAATGAGTTTTTAAATTTTTATAAAATCTTCAAATAAACTAAAATTTAGGTTTAAATAAATTATTATAAATTGTTATGTAATTGAATTAAATGAGATAGTATTGTAATGAGTAATTTTGTAATTGTATTAAATATTAAGTATTATCTATAAAAACACAATTAGAAAGTTCTAAAATAACGTTTCTAATTTTATATATAAAATTGTTGTGAATCTATTATGATTTTTTTTATAACTTTTAAAAAAATTATCTTAAAAAAATTATCAAGTACACAAATTTAAAAGTACTTTATAGCTACAAGAAAAAGCCTTCCATTGCAAACCCAAACGCGCCTTAAGCAACTTTAGTAAGTTTATTTTTTCTAATAAAACATAGATATACTAATTTATTAATAATTTTATATTTATCTATAATTAAGTAGCACTTAAATAAAACTTTTTGTTTGATACTTATTGTAATTATTTTTTTAAAATAAGTTTTTTTAACTCGTGTCTTAAGGCCATCTTTTGTTTATAAATGTATATAAAGAAAATATAAAAGCTGAAATTAATTTTAATGTTGGCGCCAAATGGATCAATTGAATTGTACAATTTATAAATCAAGATCAACTTTTGTTTTTTCAATACAAATTTATTACAAAAAGTACATTAATTATACCATTTAGACAAACCCTTTTCAAATAAGAAAAAGTAAAAATAAATGTATTAAATGACATCTTAAAAATGAAAAATGGACAATTAAATTTGAATGTCCTAAATTGAAAACTAGATCTACAAAGTTGAGTAGGGGATAGATAAAGTTGATGTATTTTATTACTTGATTTATTCATTTTTAATGGTTCTAGATTAATTTTTGACTTTTTAGATGTAAATTTTAAATGAAGATTTTACATACTATATAAATAATAATAGAAAAAATTCTTTTGATCAAATAAAATTATTCAACAAGAACTTCATATAAGAAAAAAAAATTAATTTTCATTTATATAAATTGTTAAATTTCTATCTGCAATTTATATAAGAACTGAATGAAAGTCTTTATGCTTGCTAATGAGCTTAAGTCATGGTTTGTCTCAATGATTGATCTATATGTTCCTATGAAATTACTCGACAAGAACTTCATATAAGAAAAAAAATTTCAATTATCATTTATATAAGTTGTTAAATTTCTATCTGCAATTTATATAAGAACTGAATGAAAGTCTTTATGCTTGCTAATGAGCTTAAGTCATGGTTTGTCAAAATGATTGATCTATATGTTCTTATGAAGATGGTAGGAGACATTGAGATGCCTAAGAAAGAAAGTGAATGGGATGATGAAGACTTGGAGAAAATCAAGATCAACAACAAGACCATCAACGTGTTTTGATATGCTCTCAATCAAATAGAATTCAATGGAACCTCTGGGTGTAGACAACAAATAAGATTTGAGACATGTTGGAGACTACCCATGAAGGCATCAACCAAGTAAAGGAGTTCAAAATCAATAGACTCATTCAAATGTATTAGCTTTTCAAGATGGAGCAAGATGAATGCAATGCCAACATGTATACAAGGTTCAATGAATCATCACCAATCTTAAAGCTCTTCAGAAGATATATCCAACAAGTGAATTGGCTAGTAAGAAAAGTTCTTAAATGTCTACCAAAGAGTTGGAAAGCCAAGAAGACGATCATTGAAGAGGCTAAGGATCTTAACCTATAAAAGCTTGATGAGCTTATTGGCTCTTTAATGACTCACAAGATCAACTTGAGAGGTGATAAAGAAGTTTTTAAGAAAAAGAAGAATTTAGCCTACAAAGCCAATGAAAGTGATTATGAGTCTAGCAATGAAGAGGAGATCACTGAATTGGTTTCAATTAATGAAAGTGAGAAAGTACATGAAGAAGAACCTCAAAGAAAAATCCTCTAGAAGAAACTAGGAAATTCACTACTCTAAAAAGGAAGAATATGTAGTAATGATGATAGAGGAGAGTCAAACAAAAAGCATATAAAATGCTATAAGTGCAATGAGATGGGACACTATAGAGATGAATGCCTCAAATCGAAGAAAGGCAAGGAAGAGAAAGCATTTGTTGCCACATGTAGCAATGATGGATGTAGCTCTGACGAATGTAGCTCATCTAGGAATGAAGGCTTCTTGGAGGATGGTGTGGCCAACCTTCACTTCATGGCTCAAGAGGTTAGCAACTATGATGAGGATGTAAACTCTAACTTCTCTAGTTCAATTAATGAAAGTTTATTTGATTATTCTTATGATGATTTATACAAAGTCCTTGATCTTTGAAAGATGAGGAATCTAATGATGTTTTGAAAAAGGAAAATGAGGATTTGAAAAAGAAAGTGA